GTTGGTTGTACTTAATGTCATTTTTTTTTTATAAAAAAAATACTTGAAGTGAATAGTAACATACCTGTGTTGTTCTTGGTTGTGGAGCTCTGTCTTATGCTTCTTTCCTTTTACTTCTAGCTACTTTTTTGGTTTTTCTCTTGGCTTGGAATTTTTGAGTTGTGTGCACTATGGAGCTGTGTTGTGCTTGGTATATATAGCTTAGTTCAATGGCCCTAAGGGCATTATTGGTGTTTTTGGATTTATCTTTGATGACATTGGTAGGTTCTGTTATCTGTGTTAACAGAGGTTAAAAAATAAAAGAATCTTGACAATGTTAATTAAAGTGTGGGAGATTTGTGTAATTATTCAAACCATAGGAAAAGTCCCTGTATTTATCAGAAACCTCAGGGAGGTGAGCATAATTTATCCAAATATTTTTGATTTACGAAAATATAATATCCCTCATTCTGGCCTATATTTCAAGCACCTTCGTAAACATAGGCCCACGCCTAGGATCTTGTTAATCAAAATATTCACATATTTATAAATATTTTTATACATTTAATATATTTTAAGAGTAATTAAAAAACAAAAGTAAAGAGTCGGTGTGCTTTTGGTTTTATTTTTTTAAAATTATTTTTAGACAAATTTTTATTTTGCACTTTTAGAGTGTAAATCTGAACTTTTTATATTTGAAATAAGAGTTTTGAGTGTCTTCTTCTGATTTCGTCATTAATTTTTGAATTTTTGACATCTACAATAGTTCCTTCTTTTCTCAATCATTCTCTCATATTGTTGTGAGTGTTGTTTTTCCTCTTCAACTCTAACTTTTGACAGTACGGTGGAGGCAAAGTTTGGTAGCAGTAAGAGGGACGGTGTCGATGTCAACGTCGACGTTGACGACAGCATCAGATTCAAGGCAGATCTTGCTTGGTTAATGCAAATCGTGCTTTTCCAAATGGCATCTGTGAGAAAATCGATGATTTCTTGTAAATTACTGTATTTTTGGCTGCTTCGTTTTTTTTTTTGTTGTTGTTGTTGTTTGTAGTTCTTGTTTATGTTATTTACTTGGCCCCTTGATTCTTACTGTTTTTCCTTGATTTGTATGATGTTGGTTTGTTTTGTTTTGTTTTTGTTTTTATAACTACTTTAAATGTTCTAAAAAAACAAATAAAAAACAGAAGAAACCAAACATACAATATATAAATGTAAAATAAAAAAATATTCACAAATTTATATCTACAATTACAAACATTTGTCAACCTGCACCAAAACTTTCTTTTTTTAAAGCAACAATGATTAAGACTTCCTTTTTCTGAAAACCTCCACAATCCCCTTTGGATCTCAACCATTGATGGTGTGGGCCCCACACATACATCAATGGTTGAGATCCAAAGGGAGTTGTAGAGGTCTCAAAAAAAAAGAGATCCCAAGCATTTTTCTTTCTAAAGTCATGGATTAGGTCAAGGAGGTGGCCCACATCAAAATGGGTCCCTAACGAATTAGGCCTATGAACCCGGACCCCATAAAAAAAATTAAATGTACGTTCTTATTGTACCATGTTGAAACTAGAAAAGCATATCAGCAGGGCTATTTGAACTTGACTAGGTATGATTTGTTTGAATTTAAGTTTCAACTCATTAAAATTTTAATAAATAAATTTAAAGATATTAAAATTTGATTCGTTAGCTTAACTCATTTAATATTTATTTAAATGTTAAAATAAATATATCATTCATATATTAAATAATTTATAAATATGTTTAAAAATAAAATAAATTTGTTTTTTATATATTTAAATAATACAAATAATAGCTAAATTTAGTTATATGTAAATAATAGCTAATTATAGATAATGTATTTATATAATAGTTGTGGTAGATATTATTATTTTGATAAAATATTGATTTTTCTTTTAATATGTTTATATATTGTATATAATTATATAATTGAAATTTCAATTGTAACTTTAGTCTCATACGTTATTATGAATTTATAATTTCTTTAGCTCGTTAAGACTCGTGAACAGGTTCGAACTTGAGTCAAGCCTAAGTCAACTCAGCTCGAACTTGGTTCATTAAATTTTTATTGAGCTTGAGCTTGAGCTCAAACTCGAATTCGAACTCTAAAATCTTAATAAACAAGGCTAAATATAGTAAATCTCAATTCGGCTCAACTTGTTTGTAGATCAATTAGCAATTGGGTTTCTAAAACCATCTTTTATTGTAGTTCTTATTAATAATCTGAGTACATAGAGAATCAAATAAAGAATTGGATATGCATGTCTCACATTGGGTTGAGTCTACATGATATGGGATCCACTCTTTGTAAGATATTTGTGTCTCATTTTGTGTTTAGTCACTATATTCCTAACATTGTTTGAGATATTATGAACGGAAGAGTAGTTTTACAAATAGTTCTTTTACTTGCATATGAATTAATTACAAAATTAGATACAATCTTCTTATATATTGGGAGATTTATAAACGGGTGAATCAACCTTATGTAAGAGAGGATCGTATCCAGTTTGTGATTGATTTATGTATTCTTAAAAAGAAAAATCTACAAATACACTTGTGTTTCACATTTGAAACACACTTTGTGAAAGAGTCAGTAGATGAGATCCATCCTATAAAAGTTGTTTATTCATGTTGGAGTTCCAAAAATTTAAGAAAATATATTTCCAAAATTAAGTAAAATAATGGAAAATAACTTCCTATGATTTGATATAGATTTTAATTTGAAGATGAGTAATTTGGTGAGAGTTCCTTCAGTTTCAAAGTTTGTTGCAAAAAATAAACAAATAAACAAACAAACAATGCGAAAAGTTTTGAAAATTATTATGCAGTGTGTTTTTAAAAATATATTTACATATGTTAGCTCCAGCCCACTATGGGAAGAGGTTGAGGGGGTGCTTTGTTGGATATCAACCCATGTGCGGGGTGATTCTCTTTACATGTGAAAACACAGCACACCAAGTCAGGAATAGACAGCTGCCAACCGACAAGCCGTAATGGATGGCCACCGAAAGTGAAGGAACAGCTAGCCATGTGCAAGGCCAGCCAAGCTCTCAACCATTCTCTTCAGTGTATAAATAGAGAAAGAGAGAGCAGTGCGTTATAGAGTGAGCTGTGAGGTGTGAGTTCTGTAATCTCCCTCCGAGATAATTCTATAGTGAATATCTCTCTCCGTAGACGTAGGCAATTACCAAACCACGTAAATATCTGTGTGTGTGTGAGATTGATTTATGGTGTGTTGTAATCCTAACAAGTGGTATCAGAGCCGAGTTGGTCATTTTTTGGAAAAACAGAGTGCGATTTTTGAAACTGCCACAAATTAAGTTGCTAAAAATTCATTTTTGAGCACACTGGAAGGAAACTCTCGACGAGACACGTCACTACCACGTAGATACTCATCAGCGCCACGTGTTTGCCACGTTAGCACCACATGTTTGCCATGTCGGTGACACGTGTCTGCCCCCTGTCGGGTTTACCCGACCTAGAGAGGGAGAAGTTATCCGATGCTACGTGGCTACAGTACGTCTGCAGATACAAACTGTTGAACATATTTTGGCTAGATCTGAGCCATTTGAAGTCCGATTTTGGTGATTCAATAGTGCTTTTCAACTATTTAGGGTATTCCGGAGCGATCTGTATCGTTAGATTTTTTAATCAGAGTTTTTGTAAAAAGTAAGAAGACGATAGAGGAATTCACATCAATTTCAAGATCCATGATCAAGTTGAATCCTTCCAATTATGCAATCTAGAAGCCGCGGATGGAAGATATCCTATTTTATAAAGACCTGTTTGACCCTATTGCTCTAAAAGGGGTTAAACCGGAAGAAGTGAAGGATGCAGACTGGATAAAGATGAACCGAAAGACTGTCGATTGTGTCAGACAATAGATAGACCACAGTGTGTTCCACCATATCGCCCAGGAGACAGATGTATATGTCCTTTGCACAATGTTAGAAGGAATGTACCAGTCAAAGACCGCTCGGAACAAAGCCTTGGTGATGAGAACGCTTGTAAATTTGAAGTTGAAGAATAGTGTGTCTATCGCCGAGCATACCGGTGAATTCAAAAATTTGGTGAATCAGCTTGCAACCGTCAAGATGCCCTTGGACGATGAAATGCAAGCTGTACTACTGTTCAGTTCTTTACCGGACAGCTGGAAGACGTTGGTGGTTTCTCTCAGCAACTCTGCACCTGAAGGGAAGCTGACCATGAGCATGGTCACAGACGCCATGTATAAGGAAGAGACAAGGAGGAAAGACATAGGAGGTAATCATTCCCATGCTCTTGTCACAGAAGATAGAGGTAGAGACAGAGGTAGAGAATGAGGCAGAGGAAGAAGCAAGAGTAGAGGCAGCTGGAACAAAAGAAGTAAATCCAAAGACAACAAAGGTCGAGGAAACTCCAGCTTTACTTGTTTCACTGTGGCCAAGAGGGTCACATAAAGAGAAACTGCCCAAGTTGGAAATATAAGGGCCAAAGCAGTAAGTCAAAGGGACATGAGAACACGACAACTACAACAACTGATGAAATACTTCTTGCAATTGGTGAAGAGGAGGACTGCCTTCACGTGGCTGACCACATGAATGGGTACACAGAATGGGTGATAGACACAGTTGCATCCTATCAAGCCATTTTCCATAGAGAACTCTTTAGCTCATACAACGCTGGAGATTTTGGCATTGTTCGAATAGGGAATTCTAGCTATTTGAAGATTGTAGGTATTAGAGACATTAGCATTCAGACTAATGTCTTGGTTCTCAAAGATGTGAGGCATGTTCCAGATTTGCACCTCAATCTTATCTTCGGAAGTGCCCTGGACCGACAGGACTATACAAGTACATTCGGAAATGGCTGTTGGAATGTGACACGTGGAGCTTTCACAATCGCCAGAGGAGAGATGTCTTCAACACTGTACAAGATCAAATAAAGATTTGTCTGGGAAATCTTAATGCAGTAGAAGACAAGGAGTCATCGGACTTATAACACAGAAGACTGGCTCACATGAGTGAGAAGGGATTGCATCTGTTGACAAAGCAATCTAGGATACCCTTATCCAAAGAGAGTGCCTTGAAATTGTGTGATCATTGCCTTTATGGCAAGCAACATCGAGTATTATTCAGTTTAACAAGCAAGAGAAAAACAGAAGTGCTCAGTATGGTATACTCGGATGTTTGTGGCCCAATCGATGTGGAGTCACTTGGCGGCCGCAAGCATTTTCTGACTTTTGTTGATGATGCATCAAGGAAGTTGTGGGTGTATTTCCTGAAAACGAAGAATGAGGTATTCCAGGCCGGATAGATTGATGAATCTGCCCTTGCCCCGGCTGGTTCCCAAACAATAAACACCGAATCATACAACATTGATTGGTCAATTCGTGAAGCGGCTGCGACACTCAAGCTGGATTGATTGATGAATCTGCCCTTGCCCCAGCTGGTTCGCGAACATTAAACGCCGAATAACAGTGTGTAATGGGGGCACGACTCGGTCGGCGCCGGGCTGTTGGGGTTTCGATATTAATGAGATTGCCTCGGTGGCGCTGCCCTTGTAGGGAATAAATGAATGAAGGTTCTATCTATGTGCTCAGTGAGCAACTCAGTCCAGGTCTTTGATAAAGAATAAACACGTGCGAATGTTGAATAGACTCTTTTTTAACAGCAAAGGGAAAGTGAGGACGCTAGCTGAGTTGGGCGAAGACATGAATCGAAATGGCAAACCTTCGCGCACGGGAGGTAGGATTTCGAGGGATCGGGAGAGACGTGAATCTCCTCGTCGTCGAAGTAGGTCACCTAGGAGGGACAAGAGCCACAAGGCAACTCCCCGCAACCCCATTCTGAAGGGAGCCCGGTGCGAACCCACGCCCATTGAGTTTTGCAGTCTTCGTGGGGAATAGACCCATGACAGATGCGAACTCGATCGTTCGAGATTCAAGTGTGGCAGTCGAATTTGCTCGACAGATTTTTCCTCCCGAGGTCCAACAGTCGATGGTAGGTCGGCAGGACTTCGAAGTGTTTCGTGAAGGCATTCACGGTGCGGTGAAGGGGCTCTACACCGCCTACGAAATCGGCATGCGTCTCTGTGCTGCCCGCCGAGAAATAGAGAAGAGGGATGAATGCATCCGAAGCTTGGAGGCTCGTGCGGAGGCAGCTGAGCATGAGCTGAGGAAGGTCAAGGCCGTTCAGGCACAACCCGTCGGACAGGCACAACCCGTCGGACAGGCTAACCCAATCATGGAAGAAAGGGTCACCCAGCGGCTTATTAGTACCGCACTCGTCGATCGCGATACGGCGAGCATGTTCGCGATGGAATCCGCAAAGGGGAGGGCCTATGAAAAAGGCTTCCACGAAGGCCGGAAAGTAGGGATACAGAAGACCAAGGAAAAGCTCGCCGAGGAAGTTTGCCGATGCGAAAATCGTGGATTTAAGCATGGCTGGATCAAGGCGTTTCAGGCTGAAGAAGCTCTCCGAGCAGCGGGCGTCGACTCGGCATTGCCATTGCACCAACATAACCATTTTCCGTTTTCCGCCTTTGAAGTCGAGCAGAGTGAGGATGAGGGCGATGTCGTGTAAAAACACTCAATGTAACGTTCGAAAGCAGATCGCGTTCATAACTATGTAATTATTGCCTGATTGAATAAAATGTTTCATTATAATTTGCATTCAGCACACACGTGTTTGCATGTGTTTCATTGTATAAACATTGACCGGCCCGAGTGAACTAGGCATTTTAATTTCGAATGGTTATATGCCGGCTTGTCATGAGCATTCTTCATTAAGTATATATTTGGCATGTGTCGCGCACGGTCCATTGCGCCAATGAGGTTCCGAATTCGGAGGCTTAGCCGGCCCAAAGGGGTAATGCACTAGGGGCTCCAACTCCGGAGACAGTCAGCCCATCTATAATTGCTGTTTATATAATTAGGCCATTTTAACTCCAAAAAAGTCAAAAATTAATACATGGAGTGGCTGTGGCCAATATCGCTCGGCGTCCGTCTTTTGGGATTGTGTTAATGAAATCGCCTCGGGGTCATTGCAAGGATTTAGAAAAAATTGCCTCGGACTTTTCGCTCTAGTAATTTCGCTTATTGTGTTCAAACTCGATTTAAAACGATTTTGTTGCGTGGGGTTAGATAAGTGAATGTCAATTGGAGTTTTCTTCAGCAGCAGGGAAGAAACTTGGACTTTGGTTGAGCTTGACATTGCAATGAATCGCAGCAGAGAACCCACTCGCGCGTTTAAAAAACGAGAAAAACGTCAGCCTCTAAGTCGTCGAAGCAGATCGGCCCAAAGGGAGAAACAATAATGGGGGAGTTCTCTGCAACCACCACCGAGAAATGAGGCCGACGTAGCGCCGCAACCGTTGAGTATTACTGTTTTCGTGGGGAATTCCTTTCTTGTCTTGGATTTTGGCCTTGACGTTGTCTATGGTGTCGAAGCTCTCCACCTTGAGAGTGATTGTCTCGCCGGTGTGAACATCGTGGATTCAAGCATGGTCAGATCAAGGCATTTCAAGTTGCGGATGCTATTCGATCAACGGATGTTGATTCGGCGTTGCTGCTGTACCAATGCGACGCCGTATGAGAATCGATATTGTAATGCTTCGAACGCGGATTGCGTTTTTGTAATTACTGTTTAATCGAATAAAATGTTTTATTTTAAAAGTTTATCTCATTCTGAATTTTTATATGGTTAATTAAGCATCTTATTTTGTATGCCGGCACGTTTTGTCTTATTCATGCGGTTGTACTGGCTCAACCTACATATCCCTGCCTTGATGTGTAAATGTTTTCATTCTGGGGGACTCTCCGAATTTGGAATATTACTCGGTCCTTGAGGGTCGCCCGGTGGCACTATCTGGTTAGCCGAATTTTGAAGCTTTATCGGCCAAAGACGTCTTGTGCCGATGAGGCTTCGAATCTAGAGGCTTTTTCGGCCCAAAGATGTCATGCGTCGATGGGGCTCCGAATCTGGAGACTTATTTTGGCCAATCGTGATATCCACGAAGGGCGCTCCGAATTTGAAGGCTTAATCGGCCCAAAGACGTCATGCGTCAAGGGGGTTCCGAATTTGGAGACTTATTTTGGCCAATCGTGATATCCACGAAGGGCGCTCCGAATTCGAAGGCTTAATCGGCCCAAAGACGTCATGCGCCGATGGAGCTCCGAATCCGGGGCTTTTTCGGCCGAAAGACGTCATACGCCGATGAGGTTCCAAAGCCGGAGTCTTTTGGGCCAAAGACGTCATGCGCCGATGGCGCTTCGAATCCGGAGTCTTTTTGGCCAATCGTGATATCCACGAAGGGCGCTTCGAATTTGAAGGCTTAATCGGCTCAAAGACGTCATGCGCCGATGGGGCTCCGAATACGGAGACTTATTTTGGCCAATCGTGATCTCCACGAAGGGCGTTCCGAATTCGAAGGCTTAATCGGCCCAAAGACGTCATGCACCAATGGGGCTCCAAATCCGGAGACTTTTTGGCCAATCGTGATATTCACGAAGGGCGCTCCGAATCCGGAGGCTTAATCGACCCAAAGACGTCATGCGCCGATGGGGCTCCGAATCCAGAGACTTAGTTTGGTCAATTGTGATATCCACGAAGGGCGCTCCGAATCCGGAGGCTTTTTCGGCCTAAAGACGTCATGCGCCGATGGGGTTCCGAATCCGGAGACTTTTTGGCCAATCGTGATATCCACAAAAGGCGCTCCGAATCTGAAGGCTTAATCGGCCCAAAGACGTCATGCGCCGATGGGGCGTCGAATCCGGAGACTTTTTGGCCAATCGTGATATCCACGAAGGGCGCTTCGAATCCGGAGGCTTAATCGGCCCAAAGATGTCATGCGCTGATGGGGCTCTGAATTCGGAGACTTAGTTTGGCCAATCGTGATATCCACAAAGGGCGCTTCGAATCTGGAGGCTTTTTCGACCCAAAGACATCATGCGCCGATGGAGCTCCAAATCCGGAGACTTTTTGGCCAATCGTGATATCCACGAAGGGCGTTCCGAATCTGAAGGCTTAATCGGCCCAAAGACGTCACGCGTCGATGGGGCTCCAAATCCGGAGACTTTTTGGCCAATCGTGATATTCACGAAGGGTGCTCCGAATCCGGAGGCTTAATCGGCCCAAAGACGTCATGCGTCGATGGGGCTCCGAATCCAGAAACTTAGTTTGACCAATCGTGATATCCACGAAGAGTGCTTCAGGAGCAATGCCGCGTACCTAATTTTCCATCAACCGGTCTCCTATCATCCGGAAATACCTTCAGGAGCAACTTTCCCAACTTGTAGCGGCGCAGCTGAACGCATTGATCATATGTCCTGGCAAGCTGCCACTGGTATCGCCTAGAGCTTCTGTGGCTTTTCGCTAGGGAGCCGTCCGACGTCGTCGAGGCTGTTTCGATTCAGCACTTCAGTGGAGTTGACCTGCGACTCCGTTGGTGTCTTTCCAGAAAGGAGATAACATGTTTGTGCGGATTGCCGGGAACCACGGATCTGCTCAATGTCGTGTTCAGTTGGGAAGTGTAGGAGCTGATGATAGTTGCTTGGCATGACCTGAATACGATGTAACCAAGTTCGCCCCATGATGAGATTATACGACAAAGGGAGCTTGACGACCAAGAATTCCGCATCCACTGTTTGGGAGCCCGCTCGAACGGGAAGTGTGATTTTCCCCAACGGGTACTCTGGATTTGCGTTGAAGCCGAATAATGGATGAGGAGCCGGAGACAGGTCTGATTTGTTGAAGCCGAGTTTGATGAAGGTCTCGTAATACATAACTTTTGAAGTGCTCCCCTGGTCTATGAGGACGCTTTCAACGGTAAATCGGTTTAGGTGTAGTTCAATGACCAATGGATCAATATGGGGGAGTGTTATGCTGATAAAATCGAAATCGTCGAAGATAATATTTGGAGCTGCGTGGGGCTGTTTCGTTGGTGTGCGTTGCCTCTGAGGGGGCTAACTGAATTGCGTGTACGGTACGTGGCGTTGGAAGGCTGTATATCATATGAATAACGCCAAGCGGAGGTGAGTCCTATCGAAGGGCAACTGTTTTGATTGCGCTCTTTCGGACATGTTGCTGGAGCCGACCATCTTGAACCAATTCCTCAATGTGATCTTTCAAAGCATAGCAACTGTCCGTTTCATGACTGTGATCTTTGTGATATTCACACCACCTGTCCTGCCTTCTCGTGTCAGGGGGTCCAACCATTTTGGACGGCCATTTGAAGAACGGAAGGTATTGGATTTTGAACATAACTGAGCTGATTGGCTCTGACAGCTCCTTATATTTCTTGTCGGCACGCTTTGTGCGCCTGCTATCGACCTGCAGTTGCTTATTTGTTCAGTGTAAGCATTGATCGCTTGATCGACGAGAATCCCGTTTCTTGTCTCGTTTAGCTCGTTGTCGTGGTTCAAGACTCTGAGGTGGTATGGAACTTTTTGGCTGAGCAATTTCAGGAGGGGCCGTTTTGTTGGCCATTTGTCCAACTTTAACCCGCAAGGCGTCGTCTTCCACTTTGCAGTATTCCTTAACTTTCTTCATCAATGCCCAGACTTTTTTGGGGGGCCTTCTTGTCAGGGAACTGCAGAGGGCACTGTCTAGGTGTAATCCCATTTTGAAGGCGGTGATGACCATTGAGTCGTTGCAGGCATCATCAACAAGATTAAAGCACTCCCAATATGGTGCCGAATACGCCCTTAGTGTTTCTCCTAGCTGGATCTGCATTGCCCAAAGAGAGTCGGTTTGTTTCGGCTGGACCTCGTTAGTGATGAATCTGGCCCTGAAGGATTTCTGTAATTGGTGGAAAGTTTTGATCGAAGCCGGCTCCAGTTTATAATACCACCTGACAGCCAATGGTCCCAAACTGCTGGCGAATATTCGGCACATAAGGGCCTCGTCATCTGCATGCAATGTCTTGGCTTGCTTGTAGTGGCGGATGTGGTCGGTGGGGTCTGATTTGCCGTCGTACAAGGTGAATGACGGTGCTTTGAATTTCTTGGGTAGCACCGCCATTGCAATCTATCGTACGAAGGGATCGTGTTGATCTTCGTACGAACTGTGCCTCCTTCACTTGTGCCTTATACGGGGACTTTCTTCAGAAGAACTGGTAGTTTTAGGTTTCCCCTTCTTCCTGGGCTCCGGGGATAACGAGTCGGAGCCGCTATCAGTGTCGTCTTGTCGGGCTCGAGGTCGTTGACCACCTGCCTTCGGAGATCGATCCGGGTTTAGGCGTACAGCTTGTTTGGACTTCGCCACTTCCAAGGCCAAATCTTCACGAAGACGTTCGTTCTCCGCAATCATGTTCTCCAACCTTTGTTTGTTTCGCTTTGTTTTGCTTTGCTTGTTCCATGATCGCTTGCATTGCTTCATGCTCTGGAGTCGAGGGTGAGGCGAAGTTCAGAGAGCGTCTTACGGGGATGGCGTCCGGTCCAAGCATGTTTGATGGAGTGAGGTCGTCTCTTTGCGTCGTTTCATCAGTGGCTATTAGAGGGTCTTCCATTGCGCCCGCCATGGATGTGTTTGAATATTCCCACAGACGGCACCAATTGTGGAGAAATGGTTTGGAAATACTCTTCTGATCCTGGGGGGAGCTCGTGATCCGCTGATAGTCACCTGAAAAAGGAATAAAAACTCCAGTCAGGGGTGCCGGAATTAGCACTCCGACGGACAAGTCAGTCTCTACACTCAAGAATGCTTGTATTCTAAGTTAGGCACAACAATTCTCACATACCTCTCTTATTCTGTCGCTCTTTTATTTATACTTGTTCCCTTGGCCTCGGGGCTAGGCCCACTTTTCACTCATCATCCTCTTATATCTATTCGGCCTATCTGTATTATTTGGCATTCTGATTGTGCAAGATAGAGCCGTGTAGTATCTGTCTTCCAGAGTACACTTTCGATTCTTCCAATTATCCGGCTCCCACAAAAGGTTATATAACAATATTAATATTTAACCATATCTTTGTGTTTGTGTCCTAATTCAGATTTTCCATATCATGTTGTGTTTTGCAATTTCCACCCCTTACCCCTTTCCTTGGAACCAGGACATTGTGAATATAATTATTTGGCAAACAATTTCAAGTAAAAGATAAATGTATCTGAATCAGAGAGGTCACATTTTCAGTTTGCCAGAACAAAAGACGAACACAACTGAAATGAGGGGTGGTTCTAAAATTGAATTAGCGCATGAGTTTGCAAAAACTCTCTGGCTGAAACTGATGTAGATATGGGGAGCCCTCTATTTATCGTATAGAAGTGAACACTTTCTCACTTCAAATACTAGTAGGCATTGTGTGTTCTTGGGTGGGGTCTGGTAGTTAGACCGATGAACATTGAATCAAATCAAACCTTCTCTCTCTCTCTTGTAATTCTTTAATATTTACGTGAACATAGTAGTACTTCTATTGCATCTTTGCATTTATGCAAAGCTTTTCTCTTTTCTGATCCCTGTCTAGAGTCACTGATTGATGCCTGTTGATGTAGAAAGGAGGGGCAAGACACCCATGATGAATTGCAGAAGAGGAATCTCCGTGAGGAGTTGGAGGACCGGGAGAGGAGGCATTTCTCGTCAAAGGATAAGTCCTATATTGGTAGAGAATTTTGATCATCCTTCTTATTGGATGTTACTTCCTTTTACTATCTGTTGAACTGTATTTTGTAATTGTTTTATGTAAATTATTTGTGGTTGCAGATGATAGAGATCGTAGAAAAGGGGGCCACCTTCTACTGGAAGGTGAATACTACTCGCCATTCTACTTTGTGTGCCAAAAAACTAGGTATATATATTATTAATAAACTAATTTTATACTTATTTTACAGGGTCAAGGAGGGATGCTGAAGATCGTCTCATTCCACGCAATGTAGATGCTGACGATGCCGATGTGGAAGTTAAAAATGATGATGAAAGGTTGTCATTCTCAAACTTGCATGTGCTAACAAAAGCTTATACCAATGGCTTGATTTGTAGATTAAATTGTCTGACAATTAAACTTTTGTGATTGTTGATTTATACTTGATTTTTTAAACAAAAATGCTTTAGAGCTCTAATATAGGAGCTCTAATAGCTCTAATGGGAATGTGGGACCTACTCTGATGTGATGTTTGTGCCTTGCCTTGTTTTTTTTTTTTTTTTTATTGTTTGGACACATCACTAGAGCGCAAATTAGAGCTCTAGATTTAGAGCTCTCTAGCATCTCCCTTTTTTAAAATCTGTAACTAAAAAAAAATATGGAACATTTGAAGAATATTATCTTGAAGGGTTTGGATTTTGTCAAGTTGGCTGTCCAACTTGAGAAAACAGTTGGGCTTAGTTGACCCATTTTGGGGCCGATCTTAGTGATTTGAACCGTTCACTTTTTAAGACTCGTTGAGTAGAATATTTATGCAAAAAATTCAAATAATTAAACATTGGCAGCTCTATGTTTGAATCACATTTCTCTTCAAAAAATGGATGACAAAAATATAATTTCAAGAATAGTCATCCATTTTTTGTAATACAAATGTGATTCAAATATATAGCTATCGATTTCTGATCATCTTGATTTTTTACATGAATATTTTACTCAACGAATCTTAAAAAGTGACCAAATCAGATTACCGAAGTTGTCCCCAAAATGGGCCCACCAAGCCCAAACTATGCTTTCAAGTTGGATGACTAACTTGAGAGAATTCCAACCCTATTTGGAAATCGATCCTTAACTGTGAGTATGGATATAGTCAAATTTGTTTTGAAAACCGGACCGGTGAGTGAACCGGAAAAGTGAGCGGGTGGATGTGTCACTGGATCAACCGCAGGTGAACTGAAATCAAACCGTGATATCATATTTATGTCATAAATAATTTTATAATATATTTGTAAAAAAAATGAAGCTCAAATAAAAGAAAAAGTATATATATATATATAAAATAAACAGACTAAAACAAACTTATAATGCCATTGTTTTAGTATTAAAAGCAACAGATGCATAAATAGCTTGGTGGTTAGCATTTACAAAACATTTCCAAAGGTTGGATGTTCGAATCCTTTTTACCCATGGTTTTGAAAACCGGACCGGGCCTGACGGTCCGGCTGGGTTGACTTGTCGACCGGCTTGTTTCCGGTCCGGATTATCCCACATAACTGTTTATATTGAAAACTCAGTTTGGACCAATTGAATTGCCAGTTGAATAGGTGCATAAATAGCTTGGTGGTTAGCATTTACAAAACATTTCCAAAGGTTGGATGTTCAAATCCTTTTTACCTATGGTTTTGAAAACCGGACGGGGCCTGACGGTCCAGCCGGTTGACTTGTCGACCGGCCTGTTTCCGGTCCGGATTATCCCACATAACTGTTTATATTGAAAACTCAGTTTGGACCAATTGAATTGCCAGTTGAATCGGCAACCCGCTTAAAAACCCTCCATTGAACTGCTGGGTTGACAGCAACACAAAGTTGATTTTTTTCTCCCAATTTTTGATTTTATTGTTCTTGATGGGCTGTTGGAACCACTTTCTATTTGGATTTTGTTATTACTGAAATGTCATTATTTTTGTGGTTAGTGATGATGAAGAGGACGATGATGATGAGGATGACACGGAAGCTCTCTTGGCTGAGCTTGAACAAATAAAGAAGGAAAGAGCAGAAGAGAAGCTCCGTAACGTAAGCTCTCTTCCTTTGCTGTGTGATTTTTGAATCAAATCCACTTGAGTGATTTTTCCACGTACCAGTTGCAGTGAGATTATTATAAATTTTTGGCATTGGCAAATTATACATGATTCAAAGCAGTAGATTTTGTCCATTAACGCTAGTCCTCTGAACTTATTAATGGTAATGCATACTATGCATTAGCATTGCATATAATTACTGAACCATATAATGCCTGGACAGGATCGACAAAAGCAAGAAGAAGAGCTTAAGGTCAAAGAAGCAGAATTAGTACGCGGAAACCCTCTTCTTAACAATCCGACGTCTTTTAATGTCAAAAGAAGGTTAGTTGCCTGAAGATTAACTTCCCTCTGGTTCCAAATGGATGCTTATGAGTTGGGTTGGCTGATATTTTTATGTTCTTGTTGATGTTTGCTTAGGTGGGATGATGATGTTGTTTTTAAGAACCAGGCTCGTGGTGAAACCAAGGCTGTCAAACGATTCATCAATGACACTATCAGGAATGACTTTCACCGCAAATTTCTCCATAAATACATGAAGTAACTCCCGCCATGGGCGGAGCTGTGCATGAAGTAGTGGGTTCAATCGAACCCACTGAACTTTGAATTTTTTTTTAGAATTGTGTAATATTATATAAAAAATTTAATGGTTGAATATAAATGAGACTTATATGGATATCATTATAACAATCATTGTGTATGTCACACATTAGATGTTATGTGAAAATGTGAAAATATGATGAGTGTAGTCTTGTTGATATAACAAATATCATCATTGCAAAAAAAAAAAAAATTATACATAATTTTTGTATAAAATGATGTGGCTTTTTACTTTAAAATAAAATATTCATGAAGATGTTTTGTAATTTATAACATCATTTTGGGAAAATTATTTTTAAAAAATTCAACAATTTGAGGTCTCAATTTTTTAATTTTTTCAATTTAAATCCTATACTTCTGAATTGATTTGAATTAGTCTTATACTTCTGAATTGATTTAAATTCAAATCATCAGTTCATCTCCATTTCAAAGCACTAACGGAGAACAAAAAAATAATACATGTGGCACTCCTTTATTTGTTTCTCAGTTTATATAAGCTCTTAACTGCTAATTGAATCACACCAAATTTGAAACTCATCTTATCTACATGCCACTACATCACAACCACACATCATAAATCTTACCATACATTTCACCATTTGAGGTACATGTGTGTTCTGCCCTTGGATGGCTGCAAATTTAGGTAGAAATGCAACATTTGAAAGAAGCTACGTGTTAGGGAGGCTTTGTTGTACGTGTTTTTTGGTGGGGTGTGGTGGGGAAGAGGTTGGTAAGACAGCAATTTGATGCTCCATTTGTTTTGTTAATTTTTTTCCAATGTTTGGCATGATGGTCATCAACAAAAATAATTTATTTTTATTTTTAATTTTTAAAGGTAGATTTTTTTTATAATTAAATTTAAGTCTTATTCACTATTGTCACCACTATTTTGTTATTGCTGTCTTGCCTCACAAACATTAATTTTACCACAATCACTAGCCAAGGCCTTGGCAAGGCCGGCCCTGGCCTAAGACTTGTGCCTTAGGCCTAAAATTTTGGCCCAAAAATAGGGTTTCCAAATTTAGTAAAATGTTTTACACCTAATTTTTTTTTTATTTATTTTAAGATCAATTTAAAGGGCTCCAAAATATTTTATTGGGTTCATGTATGGTTTAACCCATATTTATTTGTAAGTGTAGTTTGGTCCATATTTATTAAAATGAAAATATATATTAAAAAAAAAAGTGTTTGGGCCCAAGAAGAACAATATATGGGCCCTAATTTTATTTTATTTTTTACCTTCTTTATCTATTAGATTTTAGTGGAATAAATAATTTTGTCCTAATTTTTTTACCTAGGTCTTTATTAGTTTTAATTGGATAATTTTTTTGCCTTAATTTTGTTTCATTAAATTGTTTTGTTTATAATTTTAATGATTATATGTGCAAGTAAATATTTTTTTTTTTTTGTTACAAACAAATAAAAAAGTTGTAACTTATCATTTTATCTATGATTTTCTTTTTTTTCTCAATGTAAGAAGGGCTCTAATTTTCAAAATTTACCTTAAGCCCCCTAAATCTGATGGCCGACCCTGGGCCTTGGTCGACCCTTATCTAGGTTGTTAGGTCCCTAAGTCTTGTCAATTCCACGAACAAACTTGTGTAATCGAATTGTAATTTCTATGCTGTTTTGTGTTGCTCGCTCGAGCGAAGAAGTCCTCGCTCGAGCGAAGGACTGCGTCTGGCTGCAAACCTGAAAGAGGTCATTGTGCGCTCGAGCGAAGCATTGGAGGCTCGAGCAAAGAACTGCGTCTGCGTACAAACCTGAAAGAGTTTATTCCTCGCTCGAGCGAAGACTTTATGGCTCGAGCGAAGGTACTTATGGAAGTCACGCGAGATAAGCTTCTCGCTCGAGCGAGATAAGCCTCGCTCGAGCGAGATAAGTTTCGCTCGAGCGAGCTTCAGAATCCGGAATTCTATAAGTAGTTGGTTTCTCCAAACTTTAGGATTACTTTTTTGAGATCTACTTTGAGATTTTCTGAGGTTTTCTTGTGGAGAGATTTTTGTGAGTTTTCCTTGATGTTTTGAGAAGAGTACTTCACCCATGATCTAAAATACATACATCAAGGAGTTGGTTACTTTAAATTCAAGAGAGAGTTCTCTTCGGTGGATTCCGAAGATTCTAGCGTATAGCTTCAAAAGGCGTTTGATTCTATACGTAAGTGAGATTGTGGAATCAACCTCAGGATTGATCAGTTCCGAGACGAAGTCGTGGAAAAAGAGTTACAGAAGATTCGAAGACAAATTGACTGAGTTGGGTAATTTGTATGATATCTTTGTAATCTTTTTACTTCAGTAGTGAATTGATTAGTGG